ACTCATGTCCTTTTCTCCAAGCTCTTATTTTTCTCTTTTCATCCTAAATTAATTTGTATGTTTTGGTTGCCAGGTAAACTGAACAAATCACTGTATCAATGAAGGGGGAAATACATCTATTACCTGAATCAATCCATCCTAGAGGAGCTTTTTAGTGCCAGGGAATAGAGTGTAAACGTGCCTGTACAGGAGGGAATAAACAGACTGTTGATGGATCATTTTTTTCTATCTGAAATGCCCATATACTAGATAGAACATGAGAGCTATACATGGTTCCAGCTTTTCTTGCAGCATCTTGACTTATTTAATTGTTTTCTTAAAACAAATGTTATTTATCATTTATTTTACAAATTCAAAAAAAAAAGAGGTGGTTTATGGGTTAGTGGGAATAACAGTTCAAATAAATTCTGTGCTATATAGTGGGGCCAACTGTGCATCCAGAACCATTGGTTTATAACACAGACAGCCTAAAGTTAAAGAATCATATATGCCGACTTAAATACAACTCTTTCAGGTGGTTTTTGCCATCGTCATTGCAGGGTATGGAAACTGTTGGTTCTATGGAGTAGGGCTTGGGGATACCCAGTCATAAAGTGGGGTCAAGGAACTTTGTTATAATATAGTGGACACTAGATGGTACCAGTATGGAGAGCTTTCTGGTTCCTGTTGCTAATGGCTTTTTCATGAATGGCTCTTTATGTATTTTTTGGCTATTCAAGACCAGACTTTAACTTGAAATTGTATGTACAGTACCTTATTGTATTCTTCCTGACATGCTTTTAGTACAATCCCTTAACATGTTATAATTTGGGAGTACAGTGGCTTATGGTACAATGAGCCATTTAGGTAGTATCCACAAATAGGCTTTATTTACAAGGGTGAAATTGTTTAATTGTGTATATTTTGTATGCAATGAGAATTAGTTCTAGATAACTAGATAAGTGGAGCTAACAGGTTTATATCTTTTGGAGTGAACCCTGCGGTTTCCTTATGATCTCAGAATTGCCACCAAAGATGGAGGCGTACTTTAAATGATAATTATGAGAAATGTTGGATTTAAACTACCAAAATATCAGTCAGATTACAGTAAGCCAAAAAGGCTCTGTGTGCAACAAAAGGGGATGTCCCTCAAATAAGGGTCCAGTTTTGAAAATTCACACGTATAAAGTCTAATGAAGCACCAAACAAACAGTCTGAGAGTCCAAAAATGTTTAACTTCGCTACTGGTTCACAAATCACAATATAGAACAGCCAACATGTTTCAGGGGCTGCAATAGAAGGTTCACTGATTCTTGCTACACCCAATGCAGCAAATACTTAACTCTTGGTGATTTGTGCCAGTTTCCAGTCCTTATAATTACTTATTATGTTTAAGTCCTGAAGAAAGGAAAGGACTTTGAGCTCGTATTACATAGTTACATAGTATTTGAGGTTGTGTGTGTGTGTTTGTATAGGTCCTTGAGGCATCTCATTCTTAAGAGTACCTGTACCCCTGTATATTACGGTCTCTCAGGAAATCGTCCAAAAGCTTCTTGAATGATTCCACACTATTTGCTGAAATCACTGCTTGTGGCATCGAGTTCCAGACCCTAACCGCTCAAACTGAGAAGAACCCCCTTCGCCCCTTGTGTTTTAATTTCAGTTTTAGGTGGTGGCCTCTAGTTTTTGTTACGGAATTAACCTTAAAGAGTTTGTTGCCAATGTTGCTATGACTATAGAACATCTTGTACATGAAAATCATATCCCCCTTAATCTCCTTACTTCCAGCGTGAACATATTTAAATTTAGTAGCCGTGTCTCATAGCTCTGGTCCTCCATCCCCCTAATGAGTTTTGTTGCCCTCCGCTGGACTCCCTCCAGCTCAAGGACATCCTTTCTATGTACCGGTGCCTAAAACTGCACCGCATACTCCAGGTGAGGCCAAACCAGTGATGTGTAAAGTGGCAAAATTATAGACTTATCCCTGCAAAACATTCCCTTCTTGATGCAGGACAGGATTCTACTAGCTTTGCTTACAGCAACCTGGCACTGTAATCTATTGTTCAGTTTGTGGTCTACAATGACCCCCAAATCTTTCTCCATTTCCGACTTCCCTAGCGGCATACCCATAATTGTATAAACCATTTGCTTATTTTTGATCCCAAAGTGCATAACTTTGCATTTATCGACATTAAACCTCATCTGCCACATAGTTGCCCACTCCCCTATTTTATCCAGGTCCTCCTGTAATGTTATACTATCTTGGTCCGTTTCTATTACTCTCCCAATTTTGGTATAGTCAGCAAACACTGAGATATCGCTGTTTACTCCGTCCCCGATGTCGTTAATAAACAGGTTGAATAGCATGGGTCCCAGCACAGAACCCTGAGGCACACCGCTAATGACACTAGCCCAGTCTGAGAGGGCACCATTTATTGATACTCTCTGTACCCGTTCGTTTAGCCAGTTCTCTATCCATGTACACACCCTTCCATCTATGCCCATAGACCTCAGCTTGTATAGTAAGCGTTTATGAGGTACCGTATCAAAAGCTTTTGCGAAATCCAGATATACCACATCCATAGCCCTCCCTCCATCCAGATCCCTACTTACCCCCTCGTAAAAAGTCACTAAATAGTACTACTAAATAGTCTTTAATCATTCCCTCTAACAGTTTACAAACTACCGATGTAAGACTAACTGGTCTGTAATTCCCAGGTTGGCATCTTGCCCCCCTTTTGAATATTGGAACTACTGTAGCCCTCCGCCAGTCACTTGGAACTCTACCAGTCATTAGAGAGTCCTTAAAAATGATGAATAATGGTCTTATTATAACCGCGCTTAGTTCCTTAAGTATCTTGGGGTGCAGATTATCCGGTCCCAATGCTTTATTTGCATTAAGTAGATTTGTTGTATCCCGGTTTCCATCAACCAATTGGCTATATTTTGTGATGAACTAAGTGTTTCATCATAGACGTCAAACTCGTTTCCTTCCTGAGTGTATACTGAGGAGAAAAAAGTGTTCAGTACTTCTGCCCTCTCCTTGTCATTTGTGACTAACTTCCCGCTTATGTCCTTTATTGGGCCTATCTGCTCCTTTCTCCCCTTTTTACTGTTTATTTATTGTTAATTTTTTTTTTTATTACTATCTGTGGCAATATGCTTTTCACACTCTATTTTAGCTGCCCGTATTGCTAGTTCGCATCTTTTTTTGCTTTCTTTGTAGATATGGAACGCCAATGCCGTCCCCTCGATCTTATATTTTATAAATGCCACTCGCTTTTCTTTTATGTGATGCTTTACATTTTTATTCAGCCATACAGGTTTTATTTGTGATCTGTTACTTTTATTACCCAACGGTATACATTTGGCAATGGCAATATGTAATATGTTTTTAAAACATTCCCACTTTTGGTCCGAGTTCAGTTTATGAAATAAATTTTCCCATTTGATGTCCCCCACTAGGTGGCGCAGTTTATCAAAGTTAGCCCTTCTGAAATTAAGGGTTTTTGTCCTACCAGCTCGCTTTCCTTTCCTGTATTCAATATTGAAAGTAATCACATTGTGATCACTATTGCCCAGTGTCTCCCCAATTACAATGTCCTCAATTAACTCTGCATTATTAGTGATGATTAAATCGAGGATGGCATTTTTCCTAGTTGGGACCTCCACCATCTGGTCCATGAAATTGTCTCGCGACATGTTCAGAAATAGGCCTGCCTTTGTTGAACTTGAGGTTCCATTAGCCCAATTGATGTCCGGGTAATTGAAGTCGCCCATCATGACTACATAGCCCTCCCTCCCAGCTATTTCTATTTCGAACAGTAGATGAGCCTCCCCCTCCTCCCCTATATTTGGAGGTTTATAACAAATACCCACAATTAGTTTACGACTATCGTCGGTTGTATCCAGTTCCACCCATAAGGATTCCACGTCCTCCCTACCATTTGACGTGATCTCGTCCCTTATATGCATATTTAGATTATTTTTAACATAAATGCAAACACCCCCCTCTTCTCCCACCTCTGTCCCTCCTGAACAGGTTGTACCCCTCTATATTGGTGGCCCAATCATGTGCGCTGTCTAGCCAGGTTTCCGCTATTCCCACTATATCGAAGTCCTCCTCGAGCATCATAAGTTCAATTGGTTCATAAATGTGTTGGTATTTGTAAGCCATTACTAAAATTTTAAGTTTTAGACTCTCAGGCTGTTTGTTTGGCACTCTTATTAGACTTTATACAGAGACATGTCTGGTTATGTCCCACACATAATAGAAGCAGATACTTTCCTTTAGGTTTGAAAGGATTTCTGCACTGTTTTCAAACTGAGCATATAACATACCCCTAGTACAATTACAAACTGAGCATATAACATAGCCCCAGTACAATTACAGAGAGTTGGGCCAGACACACAACTTTTCATGTTGTATGATAACCGTCTGCATAATGGCAACAGTCCCATTAAAAGGAAAGATGGTAAACTATAGATTATATTTAGATACTTTCCAGCTCCACATAACATGTTCTCTCTTTTTTTACCTTCTTGTTTAATATTTTTAAAGAGTTTTGTATCGCCCTAAAAAAAAAAAGCAAGAAACTTTTTCTGGGGAAGTTATGTTACTTGATGTGACCCCCCCCCCCCCACATACATTATTACATAAGCTTTTACTTAAAATGGAAGTTGATGCTATCAAAAGAGTCAAATGCTTAGTAGGCTACCAAGACTACAACCAGAATTAGCCACAGTGTACTGAGCAGCTTCAAATTCTTCAGCAGCTGGACACCACTGACAACTGACATATCTTTCACCAAAAGGATTTTATACTTTTTATGGATGAAAAAATTAAACTTTTAAAATATACAATAATATTTGCCACCTTTGACACCAATAGGCATATAACAAAATCAAAATGAAAAGTTATTGTACTTAATTTTAAATGCTGTTAATGATTGATGACATGGTAAAATACTGTAAATATGGGTAGTAAATTCTTGTGCTCTCTTTGTCTCTCTTCTTCACAGTCATATGACAGACCCCATAATATTTGTCAAACAATGCTGTAAGGGATTCTGCATAGATATTCTTAAACGCCTTGCAAAAACCATTGGCTTTACCTATGATCTATATCTTGTGACCAATGGCAAGCATGGGAAGAAAATCGAGGGAGTATGGAATGGAATGATTGGAGAGGTAATATCTATCATCATCTATTACAATTGTTTAAATTTTAAAATTATCATTATGTTGAAATGATACATTCAAATTATTCATGCTCTGTGTAGTGTATTTTATTAAATTGTTCAGTTTATTACTTAAAGCAGACCTGGTAATTTAGTTACCTGGTAATAATAAAGATAATGTGCCAAGTGCAGTAACCCATAGCAACCAATCACCACAGGACCAGAGGAAACTAAATGGAGACTGGCTGATATGGGTTACTGCACTTGGCACATCATCTTTATTATTTACACTGCTTTACTGATTGTGTGTTTGTTTGATATGGCCAGGAGCAATGTTCCAAACACAAGAATTCACTGAAACCAATCAGACTTTGCATTTGACTGGTGTGACTATAGTAAACTGGAATCTGATTGCTTTCTATGGGTTACCGCATTTCACTCATCATTACAGCTCTGTGTACTTTTGTATTGAATGTGTATTAAATTCAGATACATGCATTAAAGGTTCCTTGTGGCAAGCAGGAAGCTAGCCCTTGCAGAATGGCAATGACAGACTCTGTTTTTCTTTAGAAAGGTTTTCTTAAATCATTAAAGTTTCGATGTAAAATTGGACTCCAAATGAAATCTCTTAAAGCTGATCACCAGGCAGACAGTTAAATACACCATTGGAATACACATATGTACTGTATATAACTGTATTCTGTATTTTCAGCCAAATTCTTTTTTTAAATTCTTTTAGACCACTATTGTGAGTCATAAATGTAGCAATGTTTCCTGCCCACCTGCAGCTTACTAACTGGACAATAAAGGAGCAACAACGCAGTGTTGTCATCAATGGTCTTGCTCAGGGGGCGAGATAGGCTAAGACTCTTTTTTTTAAACAAGCAATTCTAAAATTGAGTCAGAGTCACTTAGATGTAACTGATACTGAAATGCTACAATTAAGAAGAAACCAATGTCCTTGGAAGGCCATTGGTTTAGAAAGGTGACAGTGCTTACCTCAATGTTTTAGGGAAACAAGAAAATCTTTGGAGAGGATTGAATGCAAAGAGTTTTTAAGATGCAGAAAGCCAACAAGAGCACTAGGAATAAGTGTAAAGTAGCAGAAGAATGGGATGCCAATAAGCAGAAGAATGTCCCTAGTATTGGACATTCACATTGTTGCAAATTTCTATAACGAACCTAATTTGCCCCTACTAGAGAAAAGTATTTATGACCATATTTCATTTCTTTGCCAGACAGTGGTTGTAGAAAGGAGAGAAATAAGCGATGGAAAAGGGTATAGGATCTCTCATCTATTGCTTATAAACAAAAGGGTATAGAATCTCATATCTATTGATTCTAAACAAAACAGAATAATTATGCTTATTAAGTTTGTTAATCCTACTAGTTTTAAATGATAAATTAAGTACATTTAATTTTGTGAAACCAAACCATAGAACAACTGGATAGTGGAAAGAACAGTTCTTTTTACAGCCAGAACATTTTGTTAATCCTGGAATTAGATGTCGTATATTACAAAAAATACAAACTAGTTGCCAAAATGTGAAGGTATTTAGGCAAATACCAACCTCCTGTTCTGTTTGGTATTTCTCAATACAGTTAATACAATTAGTATGCTTTAATCGTGAAGTAAATAGGTTAATCTTCTTGCATCTATAATAATGGAACTCATTATTCCTGCAGGCAGCCCATTTTTAAACATCCAGTTCTGAAGTGTTTCTAATAATCAGAAAGGATATTCATAAGGCACATTAACAAGGAACAATTCCTGCTTGTAGAATTCATAATCATATTCTAGTTTTCCGCTGGAGACCCATAGACACACACCTTTGATCTCCAGTATGGTTGGTAGCCCCTAAAGTGTGTTGTATATAAAGGCTTTATGGAAATTATACAGTCCATTTTCAGATGGGTAAACTCATGCTTGTAAATTTGATCTGCATACAGTATGTGTATGTGGGAAAATAATTATTTAGTTTAACAGCTTGTATGTAAAAATACAATCAATGCATCACCACTCTGTTTTTCATTTCCTCCACGGAATAATAATGCAAATATTTCCTGAAATAGTTTTTGAAGCTGCTGACTGGATAGTATGAAGTGAAAGGAGATGCCAATCAAGCAGCTGAATATAGGGTTTCATTACAGCTCTTTCACCCTGTTGTAAAGTAGCCAGCTCTCCAAGCTTGTGCCTTACAATCTCAGTACAAATCAAATGTGTTATCTTATTTATTCATTTATTTATGTTTGCTTGCTATAGATTAAAATAAAATAAAATAAAACCATTTTTGTAAGACAATATTACTAAAGGAAAACTGTGTTTGTCATGAAAAAATGCTGAAGTGTTTAAAGTATATCTAAAGTAACTGTTGAGATTGAGTATGGAAGGGTTAGAACCCCTGTTATTGTTTTATTGCTAGAACTGGGATATATATCTAGCATGAAGAGAAATTCAGGTGTGTGATATCTACCAATTTAAAAACATGCAATTGATGTTTTTCCAAGGTTTTTTTATTTGTATAAAAACTGATTGGTCAAATGAGGCCAAAGTGCTTTATATGGATTTAACATTTCTTTTATTGCTGCAGATAGGGATGGCAGATCGAAAATTTTACAACTAGGGTCCAGTTAGTTTATGATTGGGCAAAGTCACCAAAGTTATCTAAATATAATGAAACAATGCATCTATAAGTACAAAAATACCACTTCAATAATTCTAAATGCCTCATTCACTTGTTTTACTGTAGACCACCTTCCTCAGAGGGTGTGGCCTCCCAAAGAAAGTGTTTACACCACAGAAGACATGTAAAAAAGATGCCACATTTTTGTATGATCCCAACTGTAATGAAGTCAGTTCCTGACAAAATGATTTGTCATGTGGTCTATCTGAGCACCCCTTTATCTGCGAGCCTCCCTTCCAGTACCCCACATTTGAAACTTTATTTAAAATTTTGCACATTCAAGAGTAAATTGGTTGTTTACATGATTACAGAGAAGTACAATTAACTTCTTTAAAAAAATAAAATAAAATAAATATATATATATATATATACACTGTATATATGCGGTCAATTGACATGGAATTTTCAGACCAAACCGGAAACTGAAAATTTGTCAGGCCGAAACCGAAAATAATTTTTTTCTAACCTTTTTAAAATTATTTTTTTAAGATTTTTATTTGTTTTTTAAGTTTCCTGTTGGGGACTGTGGGGAAATACCAGGGGTCAAAACAGACTTCTGATGTTTCCCTTTTGAAAATAGAAAAAGAGAGTTCTCAATCTCTTTTTCTGCAGCCCCTGTTATGAATGAACAGGAAGCCTCAATACTGAGTGCTCATGCACATTAATAAACTGTGGACATAGTATGAGTTACCATGTCCACAATCTTGAATGAACAGGAAATGATGCAGAGCACTTCCTGTTGATTCATAATTGGGGACACGATAAATATACTATGTTCTCAATTATTTACAAGCAGTGCTGATCACTGAGTGCTTGTAACCGCTCTCCATCCTGACTTGCTGTCACAGGAGGCTGAGCAGGCGGTGTAGGAGGATAGCCTGGTATCCAGTGACAGCGCTGACAGCTGACTCCTCCCTCGCACCGCCAGCTCAGCCTCCTGTGACAGCTGCAAGCTGTCTCCTCTTCGCACCACTCTCCATCCTAATCTGCCTGTCACAGGTGGCTGAGCGGGGTGGTACGGGAGGAGAGCTCGACCTCCTGTGACGCCGCTGACAGCACTCTCCTACCCTCCCCGCTCGGCCTCCTGAATGTTTCTCTCTTCCCCACTGTGCACTGCTTTTATTAGAGCACAGTACCATTTTTGGCCGATATGTTTCGGCGGCCAAAAATTCGGTGAATTCCTAATATATATATATTATTATTTTTTTTAATGAAGAAAGTTAAAAGTTGTGTCATTTATGATTTTGACTTTTTTCAACATTCCCTTTGTTTTTCATTTAGCAGTTTTTGCCTATTTACCATTTTTTTACACGAGTTATCTTTTCTTCACTGTAAAGTACTGAAAAAAACAACTAAAGGGTGGCAGGACAGAGTGTGATGAAAATATACACTTTACCACTGTTAATGAGTAGGACCTTCTACCTGTGAATAAGTTGTACTTTTGCCTTATATAACAAAAAGAACACTCTAAAGAAAAACATATTTGTGAAACAGTAAATTAAAGGCTTAACCTAGAAAATAGATTTCATTCCTCATTATAGCAGAACATCCTTTATGTATTTCTATTTAGTCACTGCATCTAAAGCCCTGCTCATGATACCTAGTGGAATATTCCACTGCACAATATTGTATGGGGATGTACCACAATGGCACATGACAGAGTAGATATGGGTTGCTGTTCTGTCTGAGGTTTACCATTCCCAGTGACCTTTTCAGTCTTTTCACTTAACTCTGCTTGTGACTTCAGGGCTGGGGAGTTTTGAAAACCTTGGACAACTTTATGCATTTTGCTCTGTGCTGTCACTTTCTATCACATCAGGCTGAACTTTAACGCCGTCACTTTTAAAACTTTCGTTGCCATGAAAGCGGACAAGCTTTGATTTTATGTTTGTTGCTATTTAAAGTTAGTGTGTGTGTCGCCTTTATCTGTAAGAACATTTCCCGAGATCATCTAAATTTTTTCTTATTCCCTTGTCACATTGAGAAATGTAGACAAGCTTGTCTGATTTTTGCTCCCGAGTCAGGCACACCTATTAAGTGTATTGTTTTATTTATACTGTCTTGCATTTGGCTCTTTGTTTTAAGATGTTGTAAGAATGAATTTTTGCTTCATGCAGAGTAAGACAAACAAGAGTACTGGAAAGGATAAGGCAAGATTCCTAAATTTCAATTGCTTTGACACTTGGAGATGATAGAAAAATATATGTCAGCCTGGCACATGAACTAATCTATAGTCATAGATGACTATGGAACTGGTATGGAGGTAATTTATACCAATATAGAAACAGAACAGAACAAAACAATGTTGCTCTGTGGAGGTTTAAAG